AAATACTCGAAACATCCTCCATGATAAACATTTTTCAATTTTCAGGTACTAACATAACTGGTCTCTGAAGTAGTAGTAGACCCACGTTGTAACTGATGTAAAACACTCGTTGGAGACGAAGTATTAGACGTTGAAGATGATCTTAACGCTTCAGCAAGTGGCCCACCCAATGAACCTGCATGGTGTGTACCCCATTGCATGCCCCAACTCAACGGAGCACGCTCTCGTTCCCCATTCATTTCTTCTCCACGTGGCCCTGTTTCATCGTTTCCAGTTGACAGTTTCAAAGAGAAATCAGAAGTTGCATCTCCAGTGACTGAAATGGAGAGACTCGTAGCTAACGTTTCTTGTTCTTGAACAGTTCGTGGCCAATCATTAAAAAATGGACGAAGAATTCGTCCACCTGATAATTTGTCTTCGTTTTCAGATGATCGATATGCAGCAGCCTTGTCGTCAACCCTACAAAAAAAATGATTATATTTAACTTTTGATCATTTGAAACCAAAGGAAAATTAAAAAGTTATTTTGTGTTGCGTTGAGTGTTGAGTGTTGACAGTGGAGATGAATCGATGATCAGTAGATGTGAAGTTACAGATGGGGGAAAATAGTAGTAGCGTGGGTACAGTGTCCATATGAGTGGCTGGGGTGAGTCTAACACCAGATCGAAGCTAGATTCCAAACAGCTTTTTTCCCAAACACTCTAACGTTGGACCCACGGTTTTTGTCTACATCTACAAGTGGGGTCCCACCAAGGACTCAAAAATCCACCCTTGTTTCAGACATATCTTTGACAGATCTTTTTATTTCAATGCGCTGCTACTTCCAAAAACCCTTTTATCATCAACATTTTAAACAGAAATACGAATAATTCCAAAACAACCAACAGGAACCTTCACTGTAACTAAGGACCATTTTATGCATTTCAAGGTAAAAAAAGGTCAAACTTTAGGGTTTAATAATTTAAATACCTTTGATTGAGATGAAGCTGATCAAAGAAAGGAGAATGCCCGGAGACACTACCACCACAATTAGTAGATCCTGTGTACGTCTGAGCTCCACCGTAACCGGCGGCGGTGGTGGTGGAGGTGGTGGTGGTATAGACGGATGTTGGTTTTTTAACAAGTCCAACGCCATAATCAACGTCACCGCCACGACTGCCGGTTGCGGTGGAAGTGGTGGGTGTGGGGATTTCCACAGGCTTTCTTGAACGATTGCGACCACGGTGGATGTGGCGCTCACAGTACTTGTGACCGACCACCACATCTCTTGAACACCGCCATTTTTTTCCGTCGGTTCTTCTACATCTTCCTGGCTCTGGATCCATTCCTCCTCTTCCCCAATACCCTCCTCCTGTTTGGCACACTGATACATATATACGATGAAATAAAACCCATGTGAGATTATGAAAATACATTTTGGGGTTGGACATGTTATACGAGTTGAGTAAAAGAGAATTAGAGTGACTTACAAGATGGGAAGTTGGAGAGAGGATAAAAAGGAGGGTTGGTGTTGGAGGTAGAGTTGAGCAAAAGGTGTAAAAGTTGAGGAGGAATTGGTGAACCGGTAAGCATGTATCTGTATATCAATGCCTGTACTTCAAGCTCCTGCCATTGCCCTACGCTGAAGTAACCACTTACCCCCTGCATCATCTCTTCTTCAACACACAAAATAGTAAGTTACCAAAAGAGAAAAATCTAAACTTTAAAGCAACCAACTGACCCACATGGAGAGAGAGAGAGAGAGAGAGACTTACTTGAGGGTTTGGATGATGATGAAGATGTGGGTTCAGAAGAAAAAAGTGGAAGAGCAAGCGATGCAGAAGAATCATCAGGTTGGTGTTGATTCTGGTGTGCCCATTGCTTAAGATGGAAGTCCATCGAAGGGCTGGGGAGACAGATGAGATATTTGTTCAAAGTTGAACTGAGAAAGAGATTGAGACAGACAGTGAGATATATAGCTGCTTCTTCTGCTGCTTCTTTGGAATATGTATGGGTGAGCAGGTTCTTTGTTGTTTGAAGTATATATATATATATATATATATATATATATATATATATATATATATATATATATATAGGGGTGCTCCTATTAAGAGATACCTTAGACATCCTATAGACAACTTTATTAAAAGTCAACCAATAGATAACTATTTTTAATCAGCTTTTTCAAAAAACAATGTAATTTTAACAAATAAAAATACCTTAAAAATTATGTAAGGTGTCTAAATGGTAAAATAGGGTGTCCATTTAGCCAACCTCTCATATATATATATATATATATATATATATATATATATATATATTATAAAGCTTTTTTTTTTTAACAAAAATAAGGCCAGTGGACTCTGCAGCGGCGTTGTGTGGGGGGATGTGTGAGTTTGGAAGTCATCCAGTTGATAGAAGCGAAAGGCACTCGAATAAAGATATTAAGACATAAGACATGACAGTTGAAGCCTTTTAATATGAATATGCGAAAATAATAGTATACAAAAATGTAAAAATGGTTTGTGGTACGGTTTTTTTTTTTTTTTTTAAGTATCTAAACTTTAAAGTTTTGTATGGATGGTTTTTTTTTTTTTTTTAAGTTAATTTGTTTGTGGTTTTGGTTTTTTGAAAAACTAAAAAAATTAAGATGTCTTCTAATAAAAACTAGATTATGAGTGAAGACTCGTGTAAAACATAGAGAAACATATATATATATATATATATATATATATATATATATATAAAGTTTGCACAATAATTAAAAAGAAAGTAACAGAAATAGAATTAGCGTTATTGGTAACATTGAAAAAAACAATGAAATGCTTGAATATCTATAATCGATGAATAACCTCTTTGTAAACAATGTTTTTTGTTTTATTAGCTGGACGACCTTCATTGTCACATATGAGTATCTTCAAGGCTATATGTTTTTAATTTATACTCTTCTTAGGTTCGGGAACCAATGTCGGCTATTTTTTTTCTTTCTTGTTGATGTATCAATGAATGCAGTAAAAATTGGTGCTACATTTGGAGCTTGCAGTGCTATCAGTTGATTTGTTAATGATCTTCCAGTAAGTTCATGTTCTTTTTCTAAAAAAATTACAACTTTTTATATTTTCTTCGAGTTAATGTTTTATTATTGATTTGTGATAATAATAATAATAATAATAATAATAATAATAATAATACGATTGGTGTAGGATGGTCCTCAAACACTTGTGGGAATTACATTTGACTCATTGCAACAGGTTATTTTAAAAAAAGAAAAATTAACCTTTCAAAAAGAATTATTCCTTCAAGCTCTTTTGCATTTTTTTATTGCAGTCATTGATTTTTTTAGTTTCAAACATACATGATGTTTACACTCCTCTCCCCTCTGATGTTATTGTTCAACTTTCTAAGGTGATGAAGTGACCAAAGACTGGTGTTGACGATCATTGGACATTAGCAAATAACATAAATGCTTTTTCAAGAATCTTGTAAGTAAATCTGTTTCTAACTCAAGTTACGACAATATCCTTGTGTTTGCATGTCGTGTGTTTATCATAACATTTATTAAGGGTATTAGCATCAATTTATACATATCTCCAAATATAAGTCAATTTTAATCAATGGGCAAAATGCTCCTTTTTCTTGAGTTGGCAAAAAACTTTAACCAGGAGAACACAAGTGCGACCTATATGAAAACTATCAAATGTCGTCTAGAATCTGAAATGTCATAAGTTGTCTTTTTAGTTGAATTATCTGTCATTTTTCATTTTCATTTAAGTTCTTTTTGGGATTAAACAAAAGAAAAAACAACATAATTTCGTTGTATGAAAAAACATTCAGTGTATAAGGCTACAATTGGTATAAAACCCAACAGTGATAGTTCATAACATTGTCCTAACTCATCTAATTTTGTATCATACACTAAAAGAACAAATAAAATAATAAAAAAGCATCTGCAATGAAAACCTTGTTTTGTGTCGCAATAAGTTGGCATAAAACTCAACAGTTCTTGAATATAGGAAGAGTCTACTCCTCAAAAATGAAATTGTAAACTATAATAAGTAACCAATTCGTGTAGATGTGCAGTCCCTAATCAAATCCAACCGTCCGAGTATACCTGAAGGGCTAATTTTCTTATGAGAGAGCATGACAAAATCACTGATGAGAAATTCCTTTGGTGGCAAGTTAAAAAGATTTTTAAATGTCGAATTCCTATGAGGTGACATCAGATTGAGCTGTAATGAAGTTAGAATAATTCATATAGATGTGCAGTTCGTAATCAATATATTGCAAAAGTTAAAAGATTTTTACAAAAAAATGAAAATAAAACGCCCTAAAAAAGAAGCGTAAAAGGGATCCCTTTTGACAACATATGCATCCGACTCAACTATATTGGATCTTGAAAATAAATAAATAAGCCAAACCTGAGATCCTTTTTGACAACATATGCATCCGACTCAACTATATTGGATCTTGAAAAGCAAATGTATTGGTTAATGCAAGTGAAGGATATGAAATAGATTTTCCAACATCCATTTTTGGGTAACATTCACTTTCATATCCCTTTTACACATACTTCTGTTCTCATCATGTGCGATTCTTGCTTTTATTAAAAATATAAAGTTATACAACCATATAAACGAGATAAGAATTGCACTTTTAGAAAGTATGCATATTATGGAATAAGGTTAGAACATGTTTGGTCTTCAAATGTAAGAATCTTAAGAATGACCTAACTACAAAGATTCCCAAGTATAGTGTCCCACGGTTGGTTTTTTATTCTAGTGAAGGGGATTGTATCCAATTACCTCGATGGTATATTATCTAAGAAAGTAAGAAATAAGGCTAAAGGGAACTTGATGGCAAAACGCCATTCTTTCATTGGTTATACTGAAAAATATATAAATTTTATAAATTCTTGGAAGTGGATATATTATGTTTTGATAATCAACCTTCTATACATAAAAATCCCAAATATTCCCAATGATAAACTTTAATAGTACACGGCCATTACAATTTTTTTGTCTCAATAGCTTAAGCATCTAATAACGGCTTAAGGATATGAATATAAACAAAACAACTACTACAATACATACCTAATAACCTTAGATGCTCCAGAGCTTCAAATATTATTCTCATACCTCTTCTCTGAACTTTTACATATTGACGGCATGTCTCAAATGGGTTGAAGCGCTTCAAGACTTATGGAATTGTTCATAATCTGAAATGATAACAAAATACTTTTGAATCTTAATCCAAATATAAATTCTATTCGAGTACCTAAAAAACTACATTATGGTGTCACTACTTTACAATATTAGAAAATTAAAAAAAAAATCATACCTTTTTTGCAACTTTTTCATAAATTGCATGAAAAGATCTATCAATCTTTTTCTGGTCAATGATTTAATCTCCCTCATCATACCAAAATCATAGTATATTAATCATTCATGATTCATGATTCATCCAAGCCAATTGCACAGTTTCTAGGATGAGGATCAACATGAAAGAAACCGGTTGGTATCTACATAAAATAAGAAAAATATATTAAAATTTTAGTAAAAAATAAAAGCATTTTTTAATTTTTTTTAATGGGCGTGTTCATCGGAGTGTTGGGCGTCTTATTTTGGGAGTTTTTCTAAGTTTTGTGCCCCAAGATACTCTTTTTTAGTCCAAAAGAAAAGTTTCATTTTATTTTAGAGGCAAAATTATAAAATTATTTGACCACTTCTATTTTTTATGATCATACAAATAAATGTTGACCACTTTTTTATATTATTTTACCAACTACATAATCAATCTGAACTCTAGAACTAATACATCACCTAATATCTTTTGACGACAACATCTCTGTCTATTCTATCGTTTTCTACAACTAAAAGCAAATACAAAAAGAGATATTTAACAATCATATTACTTGTTCCATCACTAACAACAAAAAAAATCTTGCAAAAAACATATTTGAAGATTGAATTGCTACCTGATGCAAATCGACTCATCTTTTTTATTCCTTTTTTTTTATTATCTTCATCTGACGGTACCATCAAAAAAGGGTATTTGCAAGATGGTGTTAGATGTTCTTTAGGTACTGGGTGCATGCCAGTTGACATCAAGAACACATATCATAATTATGTTCAACAAAAATCCAAAATCAACATCAAGATAGCCCAGAAGAAAAAAGTAAGCACACAAAAGCTATATAAAAAAACAGAAAATAGTGAAAATTTTTTAGGGAAAGGATGAAAAACAGTAACAAAAATCGTATATAATGCAAAGCAAGAGGTTGAAGTGGTGTAGAAAACAAACCTATGAACAAATCAAAAAGACGAACACATTAACTGTGTGTATGTCATCTTTCCAGTTTCTGCAACAGATAGAAAGAGGGAGGCGGAATAGATGAGTGCTTGCGGATGTGATCATAAGATGAAAGGGATTCGAGGTTACATAAGGAGGAATCAAAGAGATAAGATTATGGATTGTTTGCACATAAAGATATGGGAAGAGAAATTGTATCTGGATTCGAGGTCGTAGAAGGGAGAATCGATTGAATCGTTGTGAAAGAATACGTACACATCATTAAAATTAGTGGGAGGATCTTTCTTATATATCTTCCAGCACCATTGATCTTCATATCTTCTTCCATGCAATAAATTGAAAAAAAAATTATACCTGTGTTTCTGATTTTTCAAACCAGAATAAAAGAAACGGGTAATAAGGGGTGGGGCGGTGTATTATTTTATTTTATTTTTATGAGATTTAATTGTCATTAATAGATTTCTTAATTTTAAAAGTAATTTTATTTTTGGTGAGATTTAATTGTCATTAATAGATTTCTTAATGTTAAAAGTAATTGTTATTAATAGATTTCATAAATTTGGTGGACCAAACAAAAGGTGTTGACCAAATGATGATGTCAGCGTAACGATCTAAATGTGGAAAAGATAGGAATAAAACACAATCAATGATCATTATTGTTGAAGGTGATATTATAATATTTCTCTTTTAATAATATTTAGAGATTTTGTG